TTCCTGCTACACTGCCTTCTTCTCACAGCCTGCGCCTGCGGGAAGGAACAACTCATAGAACGTTTCCTGCGATCGGTTAACAGAGGAAGAGACAGCTTGGGCCTGGTTTACAGACGGCTATGCAGGCACCACCAAAAAGTGAACAGCTGCAGTTCTACAGCTCCTTTCTGGGACTTCCCTAAAGGACAATGGTAACAGAGACTCCTCCCAGCAGGCAGAATGTCAAGCAAGGAATCTGGTTACTCGTAATATACTTTGCTTGGAAGGAGAAATGGCCTCATGAGTGATTATATACCAATTTATGGGCTGTGGCCAATGGTTTGGCTGGATAGTCAGGGACTTGGAAGAAGCATGATTTAAACATTGGTGACAAGGAAGTGTGGGGAAGAGATTTGTGGACCTCTCTAAATGGACATAAAATGTGAAGACATTTGTGTCCCATGTGAATGTTCACCAAAGGGTGACCTCAGCAGAGGAGAAATTTAGTAAGTGGCTAGGATAACTTGTTCTGTGGATACCAGTTGACCGCTTTTCCTAGTCACTGCTGTCACTGCCCAATGAATTAATTTTATGAGGAACCACCACACTGTTTTCCACAGTGGCTGTACCATTTTAGATTCCCATCAATAGGGCACAAGGGTTCTAATTTCTCCACATTTTTATTGGTTTGTTTGTTTGTTTTTTATAGTAGTCATTCTAATGGGTATAAGGTGGTATCTCGTTGTAGTTTTGATTTGCATTTCCCCAGTGATTAGTGATGGTGAACATCTTTTCATGATGCTTTTTCTGCATCAGTTGATACAATCACGTGGTTTTCCTTCTTTAGACTGTTACTATCTGCCGGGGCTGACCAGCAACCCCTGACGGATGAACGGATTACTCTGACAGTTTGACTGTGGGGCAGTGTGCGAAGGGACGGCCTGACTGACAGCAGCCAGGCAGCCTCCATTGCCTGCCTGTTCGCCTTTTATTGCAGTTTTTACCTTTAGATACGATCAGTTGGTGAGGAATCTTGGGAGGACACACGTGTTTACGTTGTCCTCTAGGCAAGGGCATCCCGGGATGAAGCATAGGGATTCCAGTAAGCACCCGGGGGTCTGCATACGCACAGGCTTGTTTGGAAAGGTCAAGGAATAATTAGGGGCGCCGCCTTCAACACTCCCCTGTCTCCCCTAAGTCGGAATTCCGATAAACAGGGCAGGCGGCCTTCCACACACTTCCCTTTTCTCAGAACGTCCTCCTTACAAACTTTTCAACCAAGTCTCCTGTGCTCCCCAACTAATATAGAGGGTTAAATTGATTGATTTTCTAATGTTGAACCCATCTTGCATACCTGGAATAAATCCCACTTGCTCATGATGTACAATCTTTTTATACATTACTGGATTTGATTTGCTAATATTTTATTAAGGATTTTTGTGCCTAAGTTCCTGAGATACTGATCTGCAGTTTTCGTTTTTGTACTATCTTTGTTTAGTTTTGGTAATAGGGTAATGCTGGCTTTATAAAGTGAATTTAGAAGTGTTTATTCTTTTTCTATTTTCTAGAAGTGTGTGTATAAAATAGATGTTAATTCTTCCCTAAATGTTTGGTAGAATTCTCCAGTGAAATCATCTTTACCTGGAATTTTTCCCCCCAAAAGGTTCTTTTTTAAAAACAACAACAACAACAACAACACACAACACCCTGAAGATTAAATTTAAAAAATTAATATAGGAATATTCAGGTTATCTATTTTTCCTATTGGGTGAGTTTGGTAATTTGTGTTTTTTCAAAGGAATTGATTGATTTTTATCAAAGTTGCATTTATGTGCATAGTATGTTTAAAGTACTTTCTTCCTATTCTCCTAATGTGTGTGCGGTCTACAGTAATATCTCCTTTTTCATTCCTATTTTGGAAACTTGTGTTCTCTCTCTTTTGTCCATTGTCGGTATTGCTAGAGGTTTTTCAATTTTATTAATCTTTTCAACCAACGAGCATTTGGTTTTATAAAATTTCTCTATTGTTTTGTTTTTAATTTCATTGATTCCTGCTCCAATATTAATTATTTCCTTCCTTCTGCTTGTTTTGGGTTTATTTTGCTCTCCTGTTTTCTCTCTCTCTGTTCTTTATTGCCCTCACTGCAAGTTCCCTGACCTTTCCCTTTGTGGTCTCTAATATATTGTTAAACCAATCTAGGAAATTTTTATTTCAGATATTGTATTTTTCAGTTCTATTAAAAATTTTTTCCATTAAAAATTTTCCATTTCCACTCTGGCCAATGGGGGTCAATTAGTTGGAGTGTCATTCCATACATCGAAGGGTCTTGGGCTTGATTCCCCCTCAGGGCACACATCAAGGTTGGGGGTTTGATTCCCCAATCTTACTACCATATTTTAGAAGGCTATTTATTAGCACTGACTTATAGAAAGACAGTACTTAATTTTAACATAGTTAATTATTAGAAAACTTGTTAGCTTATAAAAGTGGGATCTATACAAAACCTTTCAGGAACACTAGTATTCTCTGTATTGCTTTTTACTAACCAATTATGATTCAAGCTTTGCAAAATAATTTGCTAATGTTTTTATTATGACTTCATTATACTGTATTTGGTTCATATTTGCTATTTAACATTATTCCAGAAGAAGAACAATGAAGCATCTATGATCTGTTTATATTTTAAGCCTGGTCCGGCAAGATTACTTCCTGATTGTTACATGTACCTGTGCCTGTACCTGATTGTTACATGTACCACCCATTAGCTTCCTCTGGACTTTTTTTTTTTGTTTTTTTTAATGTGGTATGTGCTTTAGCTAAACAGTGTGTACAACACTGCCATCTCATGCCCACAGATGTTAATACAGGTGTGAGGTCGGCATAGGGACTAAGTGTAGTTGACAGGTTTTACTTAGTATAAATATTGTATTTGAACTCTATTTCATATTAAGCATGAAATATAAATAATTGCAGAAATGAATTCTGCCTTTCACATTTATTGTACTTGGCATTCTTTTCTCCTTTAAATAAACTCTCAATTGCCATTTATACTTATAGTATATACAAATATTTGGTATTTAACATCTTGTTTCCTTTATTAGACTTGTTTCTAAATTACCACAAAACATAAACAGGTTTTTGATTAGATTGTTATTTTCAACTCCCTTATTTTGCCTCTTCCCCCACCCCCATTAATTGTATAGTCTTTTACCTCATATTTCAAAACATCAAAATTCCTCCTCTGCATCCTTCTTCAGAACCATCTCCAGCAGATCTGGGAGGAATTAAACCGGGTGTGCCACAAACATACAACCGTTTTCTTACTTAATGAACTATGAGAATATTGAACTTAAAGGCACATCTAACCAAAGAGCACCAGGCCTCTTTTTTTTTTTTTCTAATATATTTTATTGATTTTTTACAGAGAGAAAGGGAGAGAGATAGAGAGTTAGAAGCATCGACGAGAGAGAAACATCAATCAGCTGCCTCCTGCACATCTCCTGCCGGAGATGTGCGCGCAACCCAGGTACATGCCCCTGACCGGAATCGAACCTGGGACCCCTCAGTCCGCAGGCCGACGCTCTATCCACTGAGCCAAACCGGTTTCGGCAAGGCCTCTTGTTTCTAAATGAACTGTGGTCATTGAGGGGTTCTGTAGCAAAGGGCAGGGAATCTGTGACCAAGTGTCTTGCTCCAGCAATTGCATCCCCTCTGCGGGAGGGAGCACGTTGGAGGGCGCCTGCAGAGCTGACTGTCAGCATCTCAGGCTTAGGGTGGTGTTTAGGGTGGGACCTCACTGCGCAGCTCCAGCCAGCTGTATCCAAAGGTAAATAAATGTTAGGGGGCAATCAGTTTTCCTTATTGTAGTCAACATAAAAAAATAAATAGCTGGGCAAGTGACACTTAGAAGAAAAGATGAAAAGAAGAAAAAAAAAGGGTGCAAAGGCTCCCTTTGTCATTCATGGTTTCCTGCATTTTAGTTACGAATATGCGTGGTTTTAAACGTTCCCTTGGGACCTACGTTCCTACAAGAGCTTAATGTCAAAACAGGCCTCTAAGAGGCTTTTGTTAGTCGCAAAGTCAGTGCAGAGGTCCCTTGTTTCTCTCACGTACCCTGATCCGAGCGGTGGTGACGGAGGGAGCGCTTCTGAAGGTCGGGTGCTCTTTCCTCTGCAGAGTGGAGGTGGTGCTGCCCCAGCTCTGAGGCGAAGCGTGCGCGGGGAAGTGCAGATCTAGGGTGCAGGCGGGGAGGCCGGGAGGAAGCAGGGGCGGGCTCAGGGAGCCCCTCCCTGGGGAGGGGGCGGGGCAAGGCTTCTCTCCAGCCCACAGCCTTCAGTTGAGATAAAGCACTTGCAAAGCAGACGAGAAAGCAGCGCCCTATCAGCAGATTTCAAATGATTGCTTGATAAAGAAAGGCTCTGCGCGTCTGCCCTGGTCACTTGCCTCGGAACCGCGCGACGGAAGGTGGGAGCCGGCCCTGGGCCCCCTGCTGTCGGAAGGTTCGAGCCGCGGGAGTCCTGGAGGCGGCGGCGGCGGCCCAGGAAGGAGCAGCAGCACCAGGGTGAGTTCGGGCATGTGTTTGTCACCCCGTGTGCCCAGCTTTCTGATTCACCCGCCTGCCGCGTGCACATTCAGCGCCTCTATGATCCTACATTTATTTCTCTTAATCGGGATAGATAAAGCATTTCATGGGATTGCAAGGCTGTCTTTTCATCGGTTTACTTTCGTGTAGCTTTTACTTGTTCCATCCCACTGCTGCCTGTTGCCAAACGGCATGAATGAATGATGCAATCCTGCACAGGAGAATCAATGCAAGATTCGGAAAAGCTCCGAAGTTTAGAGTTGCAGTGTCTGACTTTGCCATCTTTCCCATTAGAATTAGAATTTTAAGTAAGTGCTGGTTTACCAGGTACATTGTTGTAGTTGGAGAGATACAGCTTCACATTGGGAGTTAAACAAATAAGTATTTCATTCATAAACTTATTTACTCTATCTTCTTTATGTGCCTTGCACATTATGGTTAAATATTTGGCCGGAGCCCGGCGGGTGGCTCTGTGGTTGAGCGTGGACCTATGTACCAGAAGGTAACACAAGGCTGATTCTCGGTCAGGGCACATGCCTGGGTTCCAGGCTCATCCCACCAGGGGGCGTGCAGGAGGCAGCCAATCAATGATTCTCTCATCATTGATATTTCTATCTCTCCCTCGCCCTGCCTCTCTGAAATCAATACAAAAAATATATACTTTTAAAAAGATATACTCTCGCCCGGCTGGTTGAGCATGGACCTATGAACCTGGAGGTCATGGGTTCAATTCCTGGTCAGGGCATATGCCCTGGTTGTGGGCTTCATCCCCAGTGTGGGGCCTGCAGGAGGCAGCTGATCAATGATTCTCTCTCATCACTGATGTTTCTATCTCTCTCTCCCTGTCCCTTCCTGTCTGAAATAAATAAACTCAATAAAAATATTAAAAAACACACAACAGTGGTGAAACTTAGAGTATTAAAAAAATTAATATTATTAATTTTTTAATTTACTTAAATATTTAAAAAAACATATACTCTCTTACCCTGAATTAAAAAAAATAAGTAAATAAATATTTGACTGGTATTGGAATGAGGATCAGGGAAGACAATAATAAAATCCAAGATTTCTATATTTGTAGAAATATAGAAATGTAGATTCTAAAATCTACAACTGCCTGGTAGATTTTCATTATAATAATGATCATGGTCCTGTCACTTTCATGTTGGTGAAATTAAGCAGCTGGGATGTTTTATGTTTTTAAGTGATTCGATACATGCCTAATTTTTTTAAGCTAATGTTTTATTGATGTCTAATTTCATTCAACAATATGCACCCATTTTAAGTGTCCATTATGATGAATTGTGAAAATTTTATACATACTTGGTCACCACCACAGTAGAACACTTCCATTGCCCCTGAACGTTTCCTAGGGCCTCTTTGCACTCAGGTACCCCCATCCCTAGCCCTCCTGACCTGATTGTTGTCATTTGTTTGTGTTGTCTAAGGTTTCATATAAGTGGAATCATATTGTATGCACTCTTTTGTGTCTGGCTTCTTTTGGTCAGTATAGTTTTTTTAAAATATTTATTGATTTTAAAGCAGAAATCAGTAATTCATTCCTTTTTATTGCTGAGTAGTGTTCCATTGTGGGGATATACCACAATTTTTTTTTTAATTAAATCTTTATTGTTCAGATTATTACATTTGTTCCTCTTTTTTCCCCCCATAATTCCCCTCCTCCCAGTTCCCACCCCACCCCTGCCCTCACTCCCCACCCACTGTCCTCATCCATAGGTGCACGATTTTTGTCCAGTATCTTCCCGCATCTCCCACACCCCTTTCCCCCACAAGAATAGTCAGTCCATTCCCTTTCTATGTCCCTGATTCTATTATAATCACCAGTACATTCTGTTCATCAGATTATTTATTCACTTGATTCTTAGATTCACTTGTTGATAGATGCGTATTTGTTGTTCATAATTTGTATCTTTACCTTTTTCTTCCTCTTCCTCTTCTTATAGGATACCTTTCAGCATTTCATATAATCCTGGTTTGGTGGTGATGAACTCCTTTAGCTTTTCCTTATCTGTGAAGCTCTTTATCTGACCTTCACTTCTGAATGATAGCTTTGCTGGATAAAGTAATCTTGGTTGTAGGTTCTTGGCA